ATTAAGCAGCCCTTCCATCTGCTGTTGTTCCATCCCTGATTGCATTCACCAAGATTGCTTTTCATTAGAGAGTGCTATCCTGTTAGAGAAGGTATTGCACAATAAATATTATCCAGAGTAGCTAGAATACGACCAAACTGGCTGGTTTTTTTCCCCACTATCTAGAAGCTAGAAAAGTTGTGAGGAGTCATTGAATTCTTGACAGCAGAAGGTGCCACCACAGCAGAACTTCAGAGACTGGATCTCACCACCATATGGCATCCCCCATACAGTCCACATTTAGCACCGTCTGATTTCCATCTGTTTGATAATGAAAGAAGTTCTGCAGGGACATCATTATGCTTCTGATGAAGACATTGAGAGAACTGTGAGATGCTGGTTGCGAAAAGAGAGCATCGACTTCTTCCGTGATGGCTTCAGAAAACTTCTTCATCGTTGGCAGAAATGTATCCAATTGTCTGGTGATTATGTGGAAGAGTGAATAGTGGTAGTTAAAGAGCACACTGAGGATTATTTCTGCGTTTGATTTATTAAAATATTGCCACCCAAACCCAAGTAATGAATGTGGAAGCATTACTTTTCATTCAATTCTCATATATTCTGCCCTTCTCATCCCGAAGGGGACTCAGGGTGGAGCACAGCATATAAACAGCAAACATTCAATGCTGAGACATAAATAGATTATACACATACATAAACATTAAAATAACTGAAATCATTAAAATCATTTGTCTCAACATTAAAATCCACTGTTTAAACTGCCTCCATTATCTGCACCACATCTGGTTGGCATAGTGAGGTTTCCTATTGCCGCCTTATTGCACTGTCCCAAAGGCTTGGTCTCACAGCAACGTTTTTACCATCCTTCTGAAGGACAGGAGGCTGATCTGATCTTGCCAGGAAGGGAGTTCCATAGCCGAGGGGCAATCACTGACAAGGCCCCGTCTCTCATCCCTGCCCATCAGGCTTGTGATAGTGGTGGGGCAGAGAGCAGGGCCTCCCCTGAGGATCTTAATTTCCATGATGGTTCATAGGGGAGATGCGTTTGGACAGGTAAATTGGGCCAGGGCCATTTAGGGTTTTATAAGCCAAATCCAGCACTTTCAATTGTGCTCGGTAGCAGACCGGTAACCAGTGAAGCTGACGTGACATGGGAGTTGTGTGCTCCCTGTTTGCCGCTCCAGCTTATCAACCTGGCTGCCTCTCATTGGATTAATTGAAGTTTCCGAACAGTCTTCAAAGGTAACCCCACATAGAGCACATTGTTGTAGTCTATCCTAGATGTAACGAGAGTGTGGACCACAGTGGCCAAGTGTGACTTCCCAAGTTACGGGTGCAGCTGGTGCACAAGTTTCATGGCCATAATCACTGGGTTGCTGTGAGTTTTCCAGGCTGTATGGCCATGTTCCAGAAGCATTCTTTCCTGACATTTCGGCCACATCTATGGCAGGCATCCGCAGAAACTAGATATGGATAACCAAACAAGATGTAGCTTGTTTGGCTGTCCAGTGTGCAATTTGCTATTTGAGCAACTAACCAAGATCAACAAAAAAACTGACATAGTGTGATGTGCGAATACATCTATTCGGTTAAGCCTGTTTTTAAATGAAAAAACTAGAAACACAATTGTAATGCTGGAAAAAAAAACTTTCTCAACTACATTGACCTTCATTTGGATTGGAGCTTGCACAGTGGAACCTTGACTTAAGAGTGTCCCAACATACGAGTGTTTTGATGTTAAGAACTGTCGCTCGGATCGGGTTTCACTTTAACACAGTGGTTCTCAACCTGTGGGTCCCCAGGTGTTTTGGCCTACAACTCCCAGAAATCCCAGCCAGTTTACCAGATGTTAAGATTTCTGGGAGTTGAAGGCCAAAACATCTGGGGTTGCACAGGTTGAGAACCACTGCTTTAACCTAAGAACAGTGTTCTGAGGTAAGAGCTAGTGCCATAGGGAGCGCTAGTTTGGGAGTACAGGGCTTTAGGGCTTCAAGGGAGCAGCCTCAATGCCTCGTGCTTTTGTTGCTTTGGGAGATTGCTGTCCATTTTGTTCTTGTCTGTTTTGAGGAACTTGATTTTGTGTAGTTTTTATTCCTGGTGCATTTGGCTTCATGAAGAGAGAGATGGAGAAAGAACAAGAGAGGAAGGGAGGCTGGAATGAGTACAGTATGAAGAAAATGATGCTTCTGCCTCTTCACTTGGTGCCACAACTTTGCCACAACTTTGTGCTTCTGCCATTTTAAACTTGATCTTTCCTTTTCTATTGTTCCATGTGAATGTGCAATTTATACATTATTTGTTATTTATAAAGGACATTTTCTTATTTAAAACACATAATAATGGGGAAGGGAGGTGGTGGGCCGGAATTGAACAATAGCATATAAATGGGAAAGATGCTTTGAGATAAGAGTGTTATGAGTTAAGAGGTCGGTCACAGAACAAACTTGACTCTTAACTCAAGTTATCACTGTTTAACAATCAGCCATTTCTTCAGAATGAACTGTCTTGTTTATTTGGACAGGATAAAGGAAACCATTAAATGGTTCCTGAGGGATTGCTCAGGCACAAAATAGTTGCCATGATGGGAATGGCCCTGTCAGAAAACATTAGTTTCCAGAAGGCAAATTGGTGAGGCAAAAATAAAGGAACTTGCCCAAGAGAATTAATACGCAGAAGAGTTGAGTTTGGGCTACACAATACAAAGCTATTTTTAGAACCCACTCACAGCTTTCTGATCCAATAATAGAAAAGAGAAATGTGCTAGTGAAGTTAAGAGATATGTCACTTGGACAAGTCACGGGAGAAGGCAGAACATGGCAGACACTGAGGCCCAAATGCCATATCACAGATTTGCTCCCAGAAAGCATTGTAAAATATTATTTTCACCAAGGTATCTCACACAAACACACACTAGATGACAAAGTGCCCCCACTGCATAGCCTCTTTGAGTCTCCTTTGTGGAAAGAAAAAGTGGGGTATACACTTCATAATAATAATAATAATAATAATAATAATAATAATAATAATAATAATAATGTTACACAAACTACTCTGGGACTTCCAAATTCAGAGTGGAGTTTTGGAGCAGAATACTCCTGACCTCATGATCGTGGGGGAAAAACAAAGTATGGATTCGTCGATGTTGCAATCCCAGGTGACAGTGGAATTGACGAGAAGCAACTGGAAAAGTTTACACGATATGAGGATTTAAAGATCAAACTGCAAAGACACTGGCACAAGCCAGTCAAAGTGGTCCCAGTGGTGGTCAGCACACTGGGTGTAGTGCCTAAAGACCTTTGGCTGCACTTAAAAACAATAGGTGCTGACAAAATTACCATTGTCAGCTGCAAAAGGGCACCCTAATCAGATCTGTATATATTATTTGCTGATACATCACACAGTCCTAGACAATTGGGAACTGTCCAACATGTGATCAAATACAAACGCCAGCATAGTGATCTTGTTTGCTGTGTACTAATCTTGGTGTGTATCAAATCATCATCATCATCATCATCATCATCATCATCATCATCATCTGTCAACTGCAAAAGGCCACCTTACTTGGATCTGCACGCATCATTCGAAATACATCACACAGTCCTAGATGCTTGTGAAGTGTTCGACTTGTGATTTTGTGATATGAAATACAGCATATAGATCTTGTTTGCTGTATGTATAAGTATGTGAGAGGAAGTCATAGGGAAGAGGGAGCAGGCTTGTTTTCTGCTGCCCTGGAGACTAGGACACAGAACAATGGCTTCAAAGTACAAAGTACAAGAACATTAGAAAGAACTTCCTGACTGTGAGAGCTGTTCAGCTGTGGAACTCTCTGCCCCGGAGTGTGGTGAAGGTGCCTTCTTTGGAGGCTTTTAAGCAAAGGCTGGATGGCCATCTGTTGGGGTAGCTTTGAATGCAATTTTCCTGCTTCTTGGCAGGGGGTTGGACTGGATGGCCCATGAGGTCTCTTCCAACTCTATGATTCTATGAATAATAATAGCTCAACCAAACCAGCACCTAGACCAGGGGTCCTCAAACCTTTTAAACAGAGGGCCAGGTCACAGTCCCTCAAAATGTTGGAGGGCCGGATTATAATTTGAAAAAAAAAAGAATGAATTCCTATGCAAACTGCAAATATCTTATTTGTAGTACAAAACATCACTTTAAAACAATACAATAATTAAAATGAAGAACAATTTTAACAAATATGAACTTATTAGTATTTCAGTGGGAAGTGTGGGCCTGCTTTTGGCTGACGGGATAGGATTTTTGTTGTTGTTGTGTGCTTTCAAGTCATTTCAGACTTAGGTTGACACAGAGCAAGGGCCAGGTAAATGACCTTGGAGGGCCGTATCTGGCCCCCAGGCCTTAGTTTGAGGACCCCTGACCTAGACCATACACACACATGCAGCCTCACATTCATGGATGCTGCTGTTTTGGCTTCATGAGAACAAACACTCGAAAAAAATGGGGTGTGAGAACATCAAATTTAGCATTCTGTTCTAGAAAGCACACAGTACTTCCAAATAGTATCAACAGCTGTAAGGTAGATCATTATTATTATTCCACTTTTGGATATGACAGGAGAACTCAGATTGTGAGATAGTGATATGCCTAACAGCACTTTCACAAGCACTATCTTTTCAGAGCTATAAACTGTTGTTATTTTTTTTTTTCAGATCTGGCATTCCATCTTCTAGCGAGCCTTTCCTCTTCTTTCAATCACTGCCTTTGCCGCACTGTATAATAATAGCTAGAAGGCTCTGTACCTCTCTGTCTGTCAGACATGTCGTTTCCTTAATAGATACTTTCTCCTTACTTAAGAACTCTTTGATATTATTCTACACAAAGCCAACACTTGGATGGAGGATCAGCTGGGAGCATGCCGTTACAAGAATAAAAGGAGAAGGAAAATGTGAACTATCACTCAGAAAGGAAAGTAAATCTCTATAATAGTTGTCATAAAAACTTCCAGAGTGCAAAAATGTGTCAGGGTTGTTTTTCTTTATAGTTTTTTAAAAAAAGAAAAATAATAATACACGAAGCATTCTTTTAAAAAGTTATGTCCACAGATATGGTACAACTATTATAGTGAAATATTATTCAGTAAAAAAAAAGTACAAGCAAAAAAGGAGCATGTTGTAAACTAGTATCCACAGACACAGGATTGGCAACCTCTCCAGAAATCCCTTAAGAGACAGGCACTATTGTGTCCTTCTTCTAAATATGAACGAATGAATGTGTTTTATTGATTAGCCCATTGACCGTATCAAAACATTTTTTTCTAAATGTGTAGACAAGGCAAGACATACCTCCACACAGATAGGCTCTCCTCTCCTTTTCCCAGATGTTTCCCAGACTCAACTAGAATGATCTCATAACCTGAAAACCTCTGGACCACCAAGCAATTGGCCATATCCACAGTATTCTGCACCTTATCAGTCTTATCAGGCCACCCTTGGTAGCTGTTGTTTACGTGAGTTCTTTTTCCATCAGTATTCCACCTGCAGGACTTTTTCTTCCTGGTCTCCAACTTTTCCTTTTTTTCCTGGCAAGGTAGCAGCTACCTTCATATCCAGTGCTGGGAAGGTTGAGGAGGTGACCTAAAAGTAGAAATCATGGAATTGAGTTTACAGATTTGCCTGCTGCTCTGTAACATTTTGACTGACACTGTACAGCAAGACTCTTCTAAACAAAATAAACAAGTAATCACAAGAGAGAAGGGTCCATCTTGTTCCCTGTGCTATGCTAATCTATATAAATAAAAATGTAATGTTCGTTTGTGGGATTAACCTAACTCAAAAACCACTGGACGAATTGACACCAAATTTGGACACAAGGCACCTATCAGGCTAATGAGTGACCATCACTCAAAAAAAATATTTTGTCATTTGGGAGTTGTAGTTGCTGGGATTTATAGTTAACCTACAATCAAAGAGCATTCTGAACTCCACCAATGATGGAATTGAACCAAACATGGCACACAAAACTCCCATGACCAACAGAAAACACTAGAAGGTTTTGGTGGGCATTGACCTTGAGTTTGGGAGTTGTAGTTCACCTCCATCCAGAGAGCACTGTGGACTCAAACAATGATGGATGTGGACCAAACTTGGCACGAATATTCCATATGCCCAAATATGCACACAAATGGAGTTTGGGGGAAATAGACCTTGACATTTGGGATTTGTAGTTACTGGGATTTATAGTTCACCTATAATCAAAGAGCATTCTGAATCCCACAAACGACAGAATTGGGGCAAATTTCCCACACAGAACCCCCATGACCAACAGAAAATACTGAAGGTCACCCAGTCCAACTTCCTTCACCAGGGCAAGAAAATGTAATCAAAGCCCTCCTGACAAAGAGCCATCCAGCCATAGATCCAGCCATAGCACCCACTGAATAGTTTGAGCTGCATCATGTTCTTCCATTTAATATTGCTTTGTGTCATTTCTTTATGCTTCCCTTTGTCTCTTTAAAAAACCTCAGCATTTGGTTCATCGAAGTGGTTTATTTGAAGATATCTGCTTGTGATATGAGTCAGGATGTTATCTGTGCGTGTGTCACATCCCCCTGTCTATGTCCTACTGCTTCCTTCTGTTTCCACTTATATTTCACATTTGGAAGGTACACGCTCTCCTTCTCCTCCAAAAGCACTTTCATTTTTCAAAAGCTCTCTGTAGTGCGAGAATTATGACAGCAAGCTGAAATTCAGTCTTTCTACTCAGTGCAATAACCACATGGTTTACTGTACCATTACGACAGGTGCCCCCTTTTTCTGCCTCTTCTCATATAGTTATCTTAAGCCCCTCCAACACAGCTGAATAAAGTCCCACATTATCTGCTTTGAACTGGAATATACAGCATTGTGGACTCAGATAACCCCATTGAAAGCAGATATTGTGGGTTATTCTGCCTTGATATTCTGGGTTATATGGCAGTGTGGAAGGGCCCTGGGAGTTTCCCCCTCACTTGAATCCTTTCATTTAAAAAAACAAACAAACAAACAATCTCCTCCCTGTAGTAGATCAATACTAGATCACAAAACTGAAATCCTGCAAAGATACTGAGGGCCCTTCCACACAGCCCTATATCCCAGAATATCAAGGCAGAAAATCCCACAATATCTGCTTTGAACTGGGTTATCTGAGTCCATACTCAGATAATGTGATATTTTCTGCCTTGATATTCTAGGATATAGGGCTGTGTGGAAGGGCCCTAAGTTGTCCTATCCCAAAAATGTGAAGCTTTTAGTAGCTGGTGGCCATTTCAGAGAGACAGTGGGCCCTTCCACACAGCCCTAAATCTCACAATATCAAGGCAGAAAATCCCACATTATCTGAGTGTGGATTCAGATAACCCAGATCAAAGCAGATATTGTGGGTTAGGCCAAGAGTAATGGACTGCCTCCAAAGTGGAGGTGTTTTAACACTTCCTTCTCATTGATCTCCTGAAGAAATTCAAGCAGGTGCAGTTCATCATATATGTGTGTGTGTGTGTGTGTGTGTACATGCCTTCAAGATGCCTGTCAACTTATAACAACCTTGTGGATATTAGAGAGGTTTCACAGGCAAAGAATACTCAGAGGTGGTGTTGCCAAATCCTCTTTGCAATATAGCATACAGTACCTGGGATTCATTGAACCAGAGATGACTTTGCTTGGCTTCCAAGATTGGACGAAATCTGATCCCTTTTAAGATACTTAGCTTTTTCTGTGTTTTTACATCCTGCTATACTTTATAAACACTAGTCATAGAATCATATTATAAGTAAATAGTGGGTTGTGATGAGATTACAGGGGTTATCTCCCCTCGGGGAGATAGGGCGGCTATTATTATTATTCAGTTCTTGTGGGTTTTTTTCGGGCTATATGGCCATGTTCTAGAGGCATTTCTCCTGACGTTTCGCCTGCATCTATGGCAAGCTTCCTCAGAGGTCTTATTTTATTATTATTATTATTATTATTATTATTATTATTATTATTATTATTATTATTAGCCTACTCCTGGCCCTGGGCAGAGCCTAGTGCATATGAAGTATAGTATGACATTCCAGTTTGAGCATTAGATTAGGATTCTGGAGAATAGGACTTGAATCTCCACTTGACCATGGAAAACCATTGGGTTTATTTATTTATATCCCACTTTATCTCTCCATATGGAGACTCAAAGCAGCTCACAATCAAAAACATTACAACTTAAAACATACAACTATACAATAATAAAAAGTGAATCATTATATATGATAATAATACAATAACGCTGTAATGCAATAATACAATTATATTATATATAATATTAATAATGTTGTAATATAATATAATAGATGACCTTGGGCAAGACATATTGTCTCAGTCTCAGAGGAAGAGGCAAAAAGCCACCTCTGAACAAATATTTCCAGGTAAAACCCATGATATGGTCACCATATCTTGTAAACAACATGAAGGTAAAAATAAAGGTAAAGATTTTCCCCTGACATTAAGTCCAGTTGTGTCCAACTCTGGGGATTGGTGATCATCTCCATTTTGAAGAGCCGGTATTGTCCATAGACACCTCCAAGGTCATGTGGCCAGCATAACTGCATTACGTGCTGTTACCTTCCCACAGAGATGTACCTATTGATCTACTCACATTTGCATGTTTTCAAACTCCTTGGTTGGCAGAAGCTGGGGCTAACAGTGGGAACTCATGCTGCTCCCAGATTTGAACCGGCGACCTTTCGGACAGCAAGTTCAGCAGCACAATGGTTTAACCCACTGTGCCACCAGGGGACAGCACGAAGGCATACAGCAACAATTGGCCTTAGCCTCAGTTCTACTGACATGCAGGCATTGTCATGGAGGATCGGCCATGAAGAAACCAACACAGAAACAGCCCATCACAAACACAACATCTTTGTGTTTGTTAGGCTGACTGCTCCCTTACTGATGAAAGAAAATATGTAACATGCCAAGAGTTGTAAGACAGGTAAGGACTATGAGCCAAAAGATAGAATAACTTACCCTTTTCCTTACATGGGCCAAAGCCAAAACAGAGATAACAAGAACGATGAAGGCAGCCATCAGTCCAAAAATGATCTCTATTGGAGTTACAGGCTCTGAACTGGAGACCTGGGCAGCTGAAAGACAAAACTGCAATTGAACAACTTGGGGAAGTGGAAAGGCACCCGAAAAGATCAGAATATGGTCACCTGTAAGGATCACTCTTTGGTMATAAGGCSTGACAATTTTAAAGAAAGCTGAAGAGGTATGAAACATCCATTGTTCCYCCCCCCCCCCCCCAATTATTATCTCCAATTGACCAGCTTCTTAAAACTGGCCGACTGTAGATAAAGCTTCTTAAAGGAGCCACCAGTGGCACAATGGGTTAAACCCTTGCACTGGCAGGACTGAAGACCGACAGGTTGCAGGTTCGAATCCGGGGAGAGCACGGATGAGCTCCCTCTATCAGCTCCAGCTCCCCATGTAGGGACATGAGAGAAGCCTCCCACAAGGATGGGAAAACATCAAAACATCCAGGCATCCCCTGGGCAACATCCCTGCAGACGGCCAATTCTCTCACACCAGAAGCAACTTACAGTTTCTCAAGTCGCTCCTGACACCCCCCCCCCAAAAAAAAAGCTTCTTAAAAGGTTTGAAATATCAAAGTAGCCTGCTTGACAAAAATAAAACTGACTGAGCAGGCACCTCCTTCAAGGAGATTCAAAACACACATCTGTCTGTAAACCACAATAGCTTCTGGGATAACTTGAGAAGTTATGATGTGCTACTTCACAGACCATCTAGTGAAATAGAACATCACATTTTTTTTGGATTTGGGAAGATGCTCGAAATACATGATGGAATTATCTCATGAGGCATTGAGGAGAAAATGTGAGAAAGCATCAGATGAGACCAATTATCGAGATTCATTTTAATTGGAGTGTAGACATAGTTTTCAGCACGAAAAATCCCATGGTAGTTCTAAGTGTGCCAGAAGAGAGGGAGCCTGGTAATCCTTCAACTTTATTTTTAAAGAAATTCTCAGTGGCTTTCAGTGCCAGTGACAAGGATGTTTTTTTCAAAACCGGAGGCAACTTTTGGGCTGTGGTTTGAATCTTCTCTGGTAGTTGGTTCCAAAGAGTAGTGCAGGTGCTGCTCCACTTCCTCACACTCGTCCTCAAAGGTCACACAGGGTGCAGATTTATTATGTGATGTCACCTGGAAATCTTGTTAGGAGGATATGAAGAGAACACGTGGCTCTTTTGGTGGCTAGCTCATCTCCTGGAGTGAATGGTGTTTTTCTTATTTTGTAGAGAGCTGCACTTCAGGAGACACTTACTTCTTGGGAGGAGAGCAATGAGCAATCTCGATAAAATAGTGAAGAGTAGAGACATCACACTGGCAACGAAGATCCGCATAGTTAAAGCAATGGTATTCCCCATAGTCACCTATGGATGTGAGAGCTGGACCATAGGGAAGGCTGAGCGAAGGAAGATCGATGCTTTTGAACTGGGGTGCTGGAGGAAAGTTCTAAGAGTGCCCTGGACTGCCAGAAGATCCAACCAGTCCATACTTCAGGAAATAAAGCCCAACTGCTCATTGGAGGGAAGGATAGTAGAGGCCAAGATGAAGTACTTTAACCACGTCATGAGAAGAAAGGAAAGCTTAGAGAAGACAATGATGCTGGCGAAAATGGAAGGAAAAAGGAAGAGGGACCGACCAAGGGCAAGATGGATGGATGGCATCCTTGAAGTGACTGGATTGACCTTGAAGGAGCTGGGGGTGGTGACGGCCGACAGGGAGCTCTGGCGTGGGCTGGTCCATGAGGTCACGAAGAGTCGGAAATGACTGAACGAATGAACAACAACAAGCACTCCTTCTGAAGAAGGAGTTTAACAGCCTGGGCTGTTCGTTGAGTCACAGCATATACTGGAGAGGCAGCTTCCCACCTTGGGTCAGAGGGTAGTTTCCATACCTACTTGCCTTCTACATGCCAACTACATCCCTAGATTGACAAGGATAGTTTGACGTTACCATACTCTGGTAAACTCCAGATAGGACTTCTACAAATCATTGGATGAGACCAGTTGGGAAACTGCATCTCTCCACCTGGCTGAGGCTGGCAAGATGGCAGATGGGTGCAGGCATGCTTACATGCGTGATTTTAATGCGCCATCAAGTAGCCATCACTTTTGGCTATGTATTTTAGCAACAAACAAAAAAAAGAGATGAGCTTTAGATTTGAGTAAATAGGAAACTACATGATCTAGCTATGCTGCTACTGAGACTGGGAATTCAGACCATATTTAAAACTAGCTGTCCTCTGCCATGCATTGCTGTGGCCAAGTCTGTGTATATGTGCTTTGTGTGTATATATGTGTATATATGTGTAGATATGTGGCTTTGCGCATGTGTTGTATTTTTTTTAGCTTTTTAAGTCCCTTCCGCTGTGTTTTTCAGTGTTTTTATGAGTGATGGTCACTTGTTGGCCTGATGGGGGTATTGTGTCCAAATTTGGTGTCAATTCGTCCAGTGGTTTTTGAGTTATGTTAATCGCAAAAACGAACATTACATTTTTATTTATATAGAAGATGATCAACAGCATTGGCTCCCATTCAATTCCCAGCCCTGTCTCAAAGTGCTGGTCTTGACCTTTAAAGTACTTCATGGCTCATGTATGGCCCGAATGATCTACTTGTCTTTCTATTTGCATGCATTTACATCGGGGTCACCACCAGAGACTTGACCCAAGAAGTACCCATCATATACATTCAAGGTCCCTTCTACATTGCCATATAATCCGGATTATCAAAGCAGGTCATTCACATGATCTGCTTTGAACTGGATTATATGAGTCTACACTGCCATATAATCCAGTTCAAAGCAGATAATCTAGATTTTATATGGCAGTGTGGATTGGGCCTAAGATTGAACTGTATTATCTGGTAGGTGTAGATCGATATAATGCAGTTCAATACAGGTCAAACAGCATTATAGTCAGCCTCTGATAGGACACCAGAGCCCCTTCCACACAGATGAAAATAATCCTGCATTATCTGCTTTGAACTGGAATATAAGGTACTGCGGACTCAGATAACCCAGTTCAAAGCAGATATTGTGGGATTTTCTGCCTTGATATACTGGGATATAGGGCTATGTGGAAGGGCCCCAGGATGCAGGCAAAGGACCATCTCAGCTATGCTTTGGCATGTTTTCTCCAGAATGGTTTTGTGATGCCAAGTGGAGGCTTTTTTCCTCCTCAGTCTTTTATTGATTTGTATTTGTCTTCGTTTGATCCATTCTTTTTGTGCTTTTCATTGTATTTTAATAATTTACCACAATAATAAAGGACTCTATGTACATGATGCGGTACAAATATAAAACAATAAAACAGACATAATTGCCAAAGGCATACAATTTCATCTTTTTTTTTTTTGGCAAAGTAATATCTTAATACAGATTGAGCATCTCTTATCTGGAATTTAAAAAAAACGAAATTCAAAATTGTTTTCGTGGGTGGCTGAGATAGTGAAATCTTACTTTTTGATGGTTCGATATTAAAAATAATGCATATAAAATTACCTTCAGGCTATGTGTATAAAGTTTTTATGAAAGCTAAATTAATGTTGTGTTTAAACTTTGGTTCCATCTCCATGATATCTTATTAAGCATATAAATGTCTTCCAAAATAATACAACTGGTTCCAAGATTTTTTTTGGATAAGAGATAGGCTGGATTTACACTGCCCTATATCCCAGGGTCTGATCCCAGATTATCTGCTTTGAACTGGATTATATGAGTCTCCACTTCCAGATATTCTGGGATAAGCAGATAATCTGGGATCAGACTCTGGGACATAGGTCAGTGTAGATCCATCCTAAACCTGCATAGTTGAAGCTCAAGGTATACACTGCAATAGGAAAGAAATTAAGGGTACCTGTAATTTCCAGGTGATGTCGTACAGAACCCAGCATCTCATCTGGACCATAGACTCGGCATTCCCAGATGCCTGCATCACTCAGTGACACTGGAGAGATCTCAAGGGTGGGTCTCAAGAGATCCTTCTTGGAGACACTCTCTGTGGGCATGGATCCCAACTTGTGCCAGTGAAACCGCTCCTGTCCTGTGTGGTAGCTCAGGTTGCAAGTGAGCATCAAGTGAGATCCCTCTGTGACAACTGTCCCTTCACTGCTTCGGATGACTGAAGGAAAGGAAAGAAAGAAATTAGAAACTTCCCTACAAGTAACCAATTAACTGTCTCCCTCACCTTCCTTGCTAAGAGGGAATATCACATCTGTTATCTTGGAGTCACTGGTGGAGCAATTGGTTAAACCCTTGTGCTGGCAGGACCGGTTGCCCAAAAGGTTGGCAGTTCGAATCCGGGGAGCGGGATAAGCTCTTGTCTGTTGAGCTCCAGCTCTCCATGTGGAGCCATGAGAGAAGCCTCCTACAGAATGGACATCAATCATCCGGGCACCCCCTGGCCAGCATCCTTGCAGACGGCCAATTCTCTCACACCAGAAGCAACTTGCAGTTTCTCAAGTCGCTTCTGACATGAAAAAAAAATCTTGGATGACCAAGGCTTCCAATATACAGCTTAAGAGATGGCAGCTTTCCTCCCAATTACGTTCTTCAAGTTTATTAATGTTCCAGTCCTACAGAATACCACCCTTCGGTGTAGATCAGTGGTTCTCAACCTGTGGGTCCACAGATGTTTTGGCCTTCAACTCCCAGAAATCATTCCAGTCTCCCTCCCTCTCTTGCTTTCTCACCATCTCTCTCTTCATGAAGCCAAACACACCAGGAATAAAAATGACACAAAATCAAAGTTCCTCAAAACGGACAAGAACAAAGCAGATAGCAAGCTCCCAAAGCAGACAAGAACATGAGGCACGGAGGCTGCTCCCTTGAAGCCCTAAAGCCCTGTACTCCTGCTCGAGCACTCCCTCTGGCACTAGCTCTTACCTCAAATACTGTTCTTATGTAAAAGCAGTAGTTCTCAACCAGTGGGTCCCCAGATGTTTTGGCCTTCAACTCCCAAAAATCATTCCAGTCTCCCTCCCTCTCTTGCTTTCTCACCATCTCTCTCTTCATGAAGCCAAACACACAAGGAATAAAAATGACACAAAATCAAAGTTCCTCAAAACGGACAAGAACAAAGCAGATATATTGTCGAAACCTACAACAACCCAACAAAGCAGATAGCAAGTTCCCAAAGCAGACCAAAGCATGAGGCACGGAGGCTGCTCCCTTGAAGCCCTAAAGTCCTGTACTCTCGCTCAAGCACTCCCTCTGGCACTAGCTCTTACCTCAGAATACTGTTCTTATGTGAAAGCAGTAGTTCTCAACCTGTAGGTCCCCAGATGTTTTGGCCTTCAACTCCCAAAAATCCTAACAGCTGGCAAACTGGCTGGGATTTCTGGGAGTTGTAGGCCAAAACAACTGGGAACCTACAGGTTGAGAACCACTGGAATAGATGCTATTTGTGATACCTAAAGAAAAGTGTTAGCTAGCACTGCTAGTTTTAGCAACAACAACAACTACTACTATTACTACTTGGAAACAGAGCACAACTTCATTTTCTTTCTTTCTTTGCACTACTATTATCTCTTGCTATCAATACTACACCAATCTTCCCTTTTCATGCAAATGACCAGACTTTCTATATCCTGAAAACAGATGGAAGAACTTCAGAGAAAAGCAGGGATGTCCTCCTCACCTGTCATTATTGCCAGCGTGGCATTCTGCATAATGGTGGTGCCTTGGATGGTGACCTCACAGAGATATTGGCCTGCATCTTCAGGGCCCACAGCAGGGAGATAGAGGGAGAAATCCCTCCCATTTCCATGGCTAGAAGTGGCTTCTCTCCTTCCCATGTGCTTCCAATGAACAGCCACATCTGAGATGCCATAGTCCAAGGGTTTGTAATTTAGGATGCAGGGCAGGTGTGCATCAGATCCCGCTGCAGTATAGACTACAGGAATTGTTTTCTCAGCAAATCCTGGTGGAGGGAAGGTACATAGCGTTAGGTTGTATTGATCACAGGAAACAGAGGAGGGGAGGCAAGAAGTTAAAAGAATTTTATTTTTTGGTAATCAAGAAAAACTGGGCAGACGGTTATTCCAAAAGGTAGCCATGCATGATTGAAGAAATGTGAAAAATGAGGTGGAACAAGTGGGTGAACATAAAAGATGAGATGGAGGCTGATCTCACCTATGACTCGCAGCTCGTATGTGGAAGAAATTATCTCTCCATCTGCAAAAATAAGTTGACAGAGCCAGGTCCCAGAGTCATTCCCAAATGACCTGGAGATTAACAGATCTTGGTCTTGAAAGATGAACCGACCAGTGGTGGGAAGGAGAAGACCTGCATGGAACCAGCGTATCTTTGTGGGTTTTTCTGAACGTGTGCAGTTACAGGTTAGCTTGACGGCTCCCAGCTCAACCAGAAGACCAGGAGGGTTAGCAATCACTATAAGAAAAATAGAGTTTACAGTGATATTCTTACTATCTGATGTGCAAATTCCTAGCTCACATCTTATATCATCATCCATTCATCTTTGAGAAGAGCAATAAAATCTAAAGACACAATAAGACAGACAACCTCATCAAATGGGCTGCTGGAATTGTCACACATCATGGTGAATCCAACAGTGTCCATGGGGGTGGGGGGAGGCATGGGGAATCTGTCACCCAATGCCCCGTATGACCCTTGTCATAGAGAGGAGGGAGCAGGTTTGTTTTCTGCTGCCCTGGAGACAAGGACAAAGAACAATGACTTCAAACTACAGGAAAGGAGATTCCATCTAAACATTAGGAAGAACTTCCTAATGGTGAGAGCTGTTCAGCAGTGGAACTCCTTGTGGAGGCTTCTTCTATGGAGGTTTTTAAACAGAAGCTGGATGGCCATCTGTCGGTGATGTCGAGCACCCCCCGGTTCGATATCATCGGGAGTGCACTGAAAGTGATTTTCCTGTTTCTTGGTAGGGAGTTGGGCTAGATGGCCCACGAGGTCTCTTCCAATTCTATGATTCTATGTCTGGAATTGCTTCAAAATAGATCACCTTCAAATTTAAAACTGCACCACATAAGCAACATCCATCGTAAATATTTGTTTTGTTTGTGTTTGTTTGTTTGTTTGTTTGCAGGAAGATGCCTCCCCTCATCCCGGTCACAGCCGATGAGGTCCTATGCTTAAGCACACCTAAGCAGAATGGTAAATCTGGCTTTGAATACCACCAAGGAATACCAGGTATTGCAAGCTATATTTCAGAGGAAGGAACTGGCAAAACCGACTCTGAGTACTCCCTGCCTTAAAAAAAAAATCTTTTCAAATTCATGGCATTACCAAAAGTTAACAGGCGACTTGAAAATGCACACATCAACAATCAGAGTTGCGTACCTGACACCACACCAAGCTTCACCTGGCAGTACCAAACACTGCTGCCATATTTCACCAGCATCTCATAGATTCCCGCATCACCAGTTAGTAAGGGGTTGATCTGAAGTGAAAAATTTCCCCGAAGTAAACCAGCATCCCAGATAGATAATCGATGCATCATGGACCGGGACCATTTCTTGATCCCACTGGGATCCACCTTTAGAATCAAACGGCGCTTCCTATGGGAGCTGGAACAAAGAGAGGGGAAAACTGTTGCCACTGGTTGTGTGGAAAGTGTCTAATGAGGCAAGAGCAGGAGGGTTTTTGTTTTGTTTTGTTTTCCATGTCAGGAGCAACTTGAGAAACTGCAAGTCACTTATGGTGTGAGCGAATTGGTTGTCTGCAAAGATGTTGCCCAGGGGACGTCCGGATGTTTTGATGTTTACCCATCCTTATGGGTGGCTTCTCTCATGTCCCTGCATGGGGAGCTGGAGCTGACAGAGGGAGCTCATCCATGCTCTCCCCGGATTTGAACCTGCGACCTATCAGTCTTCAGCCCTGCCGGCACAAGGGTTTAACCCATTGCTCCACCAGGGACTCCAGAGCAGGAGGTGAAATGGAGTAAATGGGAAATAGAAGGAAATGCCAAGTAATGGAAACAGAAAAATCACCCCCATCACATCCCATTATTATTATTATGAATTAATGGGTCTTCTCGACTTACCTGCTTTCATGCTGTACCCAGCGAAGTGTCAATCCCTGATACAGTTGCCTCCAACTGCTCTCCAACTTCTGAGAACTCAGATAACAGGGAAGCAAAGCTTGTCCTCCTTCCTTAGCCCAAACCTGAGTTTCCTCTCCTGTTGCATCGAAATAATTTCTGGCTGCTGCAACAACAGCACAGAATTCCCAATAAATAAATAAATAACTTGATTAAAAGTATAGCTTCAATGCCTCCATCTAACTAATCTCAGAAGACTGTGTTTTTAGTTTGTTTTTACAAGGTTCATGTAGAACCTTTGGAATTATCGAGGGGTTTTTGCTCAAAGTTATGGACCAGGGCTAACAAAGATGGTCTCAAGTTTTCCAGCAAGACCTTAGGTGCAAAACTTGAAGCAAAGCCTACAACAATTCTAACAAGCCCCCTCCCCATCTATTCTTGGGCACACTAGTTTTCTTCCTGTCCTTACCATTGGCCAACTGCAAACTGAGGGCAACCATCCAGAAAAGGAACAATACACTCATGATGGCATCAAAAGGAGTCAAATCGTCCAGTGTCCCAAGTTCACCTCCATTCCTTTGCCAAACAGAGAGAGAGAGAGGCCTGGAAGAAGAGAAACAACAGAGGGTTGGACTATGCAAGAGATTCAGGCTAGGGAAACAGAGGTGGATTTCTGATCAAAGAAGACCTTCATGGTCAATCTTATACTGTAGGTGGGCTGCTAGTTTCCTGACAGGGTTGAGGTGAGAAACGTCACAGCCGAGAAACCAACCCGAGAAAAAGCAAAACATGTGCAGGAAGGCAGGGTGAAGGGAGTTCTAGAAAACATATTGAAATGGAAACCATTTCTTTCTCATTCTGTCCACTCATTTAATGTTTTTATTCATGAGTTGCCTTGCAGTGGAAAATGTATGTTAGACTAATTTCTGACAAGCACCTCTGTTTTTTTCTTTGACTTTTTCCTTTGATGGCATGATTTCTTTATCTCAATTAATTTGTTGTTTTTAAAAATTCTAAGGATGATGATGATGATGCTATCACCTTTAATTTAAGCAGCCAGGGCATGTTGCTGCCTGAAGCAAAGAAAAATATTCTCTCCTTGTCACATCCTGAATGTGCATGAAATGGCTTTAAAGCATCACTACTCAACCTGGGGGTTGGGACCCCGGGTGGGGGGGAGTCATGGGGGGGGGGTTTCAGAGGGGTCACCAAAGACCACCAGAAAACACATATTTCTGATGGTCTTAGGAACCCTTTTGGCAGAGAAAACTGAAGATCTCTCTGCCTGTCCTTCTCTTCCTTTTTGGTGTTGGTGAACTAAAACTCTCAAAACTCAAAACAGCCACCCCCCCCAACCCCACCAGCAAGTAGTATGCCTAGTTTGGTGCAGATCCATTGTGGGCTGGATTCAGAGTGCTCTTTGATTGTAGGTGAACTATAAATCCCAACGACTACAACTCCCAAATGTCAAGGTCTACTTTCCACAAACTCCATCAGTGTTGACATTTGGATATGTTGAGTATTCGTTGAGTATTCGTGCCAAGTTTGGTCCAGATTCATCATTGTTTGAGTCAACAGTGCTCTCTGGATGGAGGTGAACTACAACTCTAAAACTCAATGCCCACCAAACCCTTCCAGTATTTTCTGTTGGTCATGGGAGAACTGTGTGCCAAGTTTGGTTCAATTCCATCGTTGGTGTTCAGAATGCTCTAATTGTAGGTTAACTCTAAATCCCAGCAACGAAACTCCCAAATGACAAAATCAATCCAATCAACCCCCACCAGTATTTAAATTTGGGCGTATCGGGTATCTATGCCAAATTTGGTCCAGTGAATGAAAATGCATCCTGCATATCAGATATTTACATTATGATTCATAACAGTAGCAAAATTACTGTTATAAAGTAGCAACGAAAATAATTTTGAGGTCACCAAAACATGAGCAATTGTATTAAGCTGTTGCAGCATTAGGAAGCTAGAAAAGCACTGCTTTAAAAAATCATTCAAGACCTGTAGATGAAGCAAATGTAACCTCTGCCCATGAAGATGAAAGTATTCTCTCTCCCAACCAAAGTGGGACCAGAGATAGATTCTTGGCAAAAATATATATATTGTATTGGTTTCCTTTTTTTTTCCCTCCTGCTGCCTGTCTTTGCTGTATTTACCCACAAATAAATATTTGTGCAGCCTGATCGAATGGGGTGAGTAGAGGCAAAGGTTCAGAAAGTGCAACCAGAAAAACAGCTGCACCTTTATGACCTACTGCCTGGAGCAGCTGCCACACTTAAAACCTTATCAGATAGTCTTCAGGCTTTGTTTCTATATGCTTGGGAAACAGAGCCCCATGGGAGTCCCCTGGAGGCCAACAGATGACATAAGGACACTTCCGGTGGGACTCTGTGGTGCTTCGTTTCCCATGTGCATTGAAATGGAGTCCAAGATCTCTGTTAAAAGTTGGGTGTCAATCAACTTCTGCTAGAGAAAGATGGGATAAAGCAGGAAGAAGATGGGGAAAGGTGTGGTAAGCTCATGGGATGGCTGGCCATCTCTAAAGACAGGGAAAGACAAGAGGAAAGGGGTTAAGGACCTCATCACATTAGTCTTGGGCTCTGTCCTAGGATACTTCTATTGAGGCCAGGATGGAGCCCATCAGGACCTCATCACATTAGTCTTGGACTTCATCCTGGAATGCTTCTAGTTTGAGGCCAGGATGGAGCCTGACAGAGTTCATCACGACCTCATCACATTAGCCTTGGGCTCCATTCTAGGATGCTTCCAGGAGGAAACTCGACGGAGCCCATCAGAACCTCATCACATTAGCTTTGGGCTCCATCTTCGGATGCTTCCAGGATGAAGCCAGGATGGAGACCAACGGAGTCCATCAGGACCTCATCACATTAGCCTTGGGCTCCATCCTAGGATGCTTCCAGGATGAAGCCAGGATGGAGCCTGACGGAGCTCATCAGGACCTCATCACATTAGCCTTGGGCTCCATTCTAGGATGCTTCCAGGAGGAAACTCGACGGAGCCCATCAGGACCTCATCACATTAGCTTTGGGCTCCATCTTCGGATGCTTCCAGTTTGAAGCCAGGATGGAGCCCAACGGAGTCCATCAGGACCTCATCACATTAGCCTTGGGCTCCATTCTAGGATGCTTCCAGTTTGAAGCCAGGATGGAGCCCAACGGAGTCCATCAGGACCTCATCACATTAGCCTTGGGCTCCATTCTAGGATGCTTCCAGTTTGAAGCCAGGATGGATCCCAACGGAGTCCATCAGGACCTCATCACATTAGCCTTGGGCTCCATTCTAGGATGCTTCCAGGAGGAAACTCGACGGAGCCCATCAGGACCTCATCACATTAGCTTTGGGCTCCATCTTCGGATGCTTCCAGGATGAAGCCAGGATGGAGACCAACGGAGTCCATCAGGACCTCATCACATTAGCCTTGGGCTCCATCCTAGGATGCTTCCAGGATGAAGCCAGGATGGAGCCTGACGGAGCTCATCAGGACCTCATCACATTAGCCTTGGGCTCCATTCTAGGATGCTTCCAGTTTGAAGCCAGGATGGAGCCCAACGGAGTCCATCAGGACCTCATCACATTAGCCTTGGGCTCCATTCTAGGATGCTTCCAGGAGGAAACTCGACGGAGCCCATCAGGACCTCATCACATTAGCTTTGGGCTCCATCTTCGGATGCTTCCAGGATGAAGCCAGGATGGAGACCAACGGAGTCCATCAGGACCTCATCACATTAGCCTTGGGCTCCATCCTAGGATGCTTCCAGGATGAAGCCAGGATGGAGCCTGACGGAGCTCATCAGGACCTCATCACATTAGCCTTGGGCTCCATTCTAGGATGCTTCCAGTTTGAAGCCAGGATGGATCCCAACGGAGTCCATCAGGACCTCATCACATTAGCCTTGGGCTCCATTCTAGGATGCTTCCAGTTTGAAGCCTGGATGGATCCCAACGGAGTCCATCAGGACCTCATCACATTAGTCTTGGGCTCCATTCTAGGATGCTTCTAGGATGAAGCCAGGGCAGAATCTGCCAGAGCCCATCACATGATGCAAGACTACTTCCAGGGGGCTCCATCCTGGAAGTGTTCTAAGATGGAGCCCAAAGAACACAGTAGGCTTTCCATGTTCTCGTCAATTAGAACAGGGCCAGCACAGGAGGAAGCCAGGTGGAGAGGCTTTCCCTGTGTGATGGGGAAATCAGTGGTGTGGACAATGCAAGGTGCATGGAGACAATTTCCCCCTGTTGCCCCATGGATTTGCCATCTTGCCCAGAGAATCCACCCACTGTCACCCAGCTTGAGAACCTCAATATGATGAGATCATAAGACTGTTCCCTCTACTTTCCCCTGTGCCCCTGCTCCATGTGATGAGGTCCCTAGTTTATTAAGAGGGCTTGCCCTGCATAACTGCTGGAACACAGGCACTTGGAAGATCTTTTCCTCTGGAAACAGACTGGAGCTATTCTTTGCCTTTCCAGAATGTATGTGAGAAGGCAATATAGCAATCATTGACTAGTACAGGCATTGACAAACTTTGGCCTTCCAGGTGTTTTGGACTTCAACTCCCAGAAATCCCTGCCATCTTACCGGCTGTTAGGGATTGTGGGAGTTGACGTCCAAAACATCCACGTGTTTGCCCATGCCTGGGCTAGTCTGGAATGGTCACAGTGCTATACAATTTGATATATATGCAAGTGATTAATATGATCATATTGTATTTCCAAAGAGGAACTCTCATAGAAAGGCGCACTGGTTAAAAAGAACTTTAGAGGGAAAATCAAGATGGAAGAATCTCTCCAAAATATGTTGGGTTTTTTCAAACTGACAATAATGATATAGCTGGAATTCAGGTGACAGTTCAGGAAAGATAGCACATCATCTGAAAGGTCACTGGAATATTTAACAAGCCTTGCTGGTGAAGTCAGTATGGCACAAGAGTGCTTTCCAGAAAGTCGTAGCCTTTAAAAAACAAAAACAAATCAAAAGAAAATGCTAAAGCCTTTATGATAAGGCTTGCTCAAAATTGGAAGCTCCAGAGTCACAATGGAGATTGTAGAAATTAAGGACTTAGATGTTGCAGAGGAGACCTTATGAGAGGAGTATGACAAGTCCAACATACTAGAAAGCTTTTATCTGATTATTATCAAAGCAGAGAGCAGCTTTCCATCTGTTCAGCAAAAATAGAACAGCCACATCAACAGACACATGGAACTGTTTGAGAGCATAGTTTCCTTCATTCTTCTGCTTAACAAGATAACGATCTTGTCAATATGTTACTGGGAAAGAAGACTGGACCAAACTTATTAAGAGAAAGAAACACATTGTTTTCTAAAAGTATCCTTACTTTGCTATGGTTTCAAAATATTTTTTCGTCTCAGGAGAAACCTGAAAAACTTCAAGTTGCTTCTGGTGTGAGAGAATTGGCCATCTGGAAGGACGTTGCCCAGGGGATGCCTGGATGTTTGTCATTTTACCATCCTTGTGGGAGGATTCTCTCATGTCCCTACATGGGGAGCTGGAGCTGACAGAGGGAACTCATCCGTGCTCTTCCCAGATTCGAACCACCGAGCTGTTGGTCTTCAGTCCTGCCAGCACAAGGGTTTAATCCATTGCACC